GTTATATGCTGTGGGGATGTGGGTTATATGCTGTAGGGATGTGGGCTATATGCTGTGGGATATGGGTTATATGCTGTGGGGATGTGGGTTACATGCTGTGGGATGTGGGTTATATGCTGTGGGGATGTGGGTTATATGCTGTGGTGATGTGGGTTATATGCTGTGGTGATGTGGGTTACATGCTGTGGGATGTGGGATATATGCTGTGGGATATGGGTTATATGCTGTGGGATGTGGGCTATATGCTGTGGTGATGTGGGTTATATGCTGTGGGGATGTGGGTTATATGCTGTGGGGATGTGGGTTATATGCTGTGGGGATGTGGGTTATATGCTGTGGGGATGTGGGTTATATGCTGTGGGGATGTGGGTTATATGCTGTGGGGATGTGGGTTATATGCTGTGGGGATGTGGGTTATATGCTGTGGGGATGTGGGTTATATGCTGTGGGGATGTGGGTTATATGCTGTGGGGATGTGGGTTATATGCTGTGGGGATGTGGGTTATATGCTGTAGGGATGTGGGCTATATGCTGTGGGATATAGGTTATATGCTGTGGGGATGTGGGTTATATGCTGTGGGGATGTGGGTTATATGCTGTGGGGATGTGGGTTATATGCTGTGGGGATGTGGGTTATATGCTGTGGGGATGTGGGTTATATGCTGTAGGGATGTGGGCTATATGCTGTGGGATGTGGGATATATGCTGTGGGGATGTGGGTTATATGCTGTGGGGATGTGGGTTATATGCTGTGGGGATGTGGGTTATATGCTGTAGGGATGTGGGCTATATGCTGTGGGATATAGGTTATATGCTGTGGGATTGTGGGCTATATGTTGTGGGGATGTGCGCTATATGCTTTGGGGTGTGGGTTATATGCTGTGGGGATGTGGGTTATATACTGTGGGGATGTGGGTTATATGTTGTGGGGATGTGGGCTATATGCTGTGGGATTGTGGGTTATATGCTGTGGGGATGTGGGTAATATGCTGTGGGATGTGGGCTATATGCAGTGGGATTGTGGGTTATATGCTGTGGGGATGTGGGTTATATGCTGTGGGGATGTGGGTTATATGCTGTGGGGATGTGGGTTATATGCAGTGGGATTGTGGGTTATATGCTGTGGGGATGTGGGTTATATGCTGTGGGGATGTGGGTTATATGCTGTGGGGATGTGGGTTATATGCTGTGGGGATGTGGGTTATATGCTGTGGGGATGTGGGTTATATGCTGTGGGGATGTGGGTTATATGCTGTGGGGATGTGGGTTATATGCTGTGGGGATGTGGGTTATATGCTGTGGGGATGTGGGCTATATGTTGTGGGATTGTGGGTTATATGCTGTGGGGATGAACTATATGCTGTGGGGATGTGGGATATATGCTGTGGGATGTGGGCTATATACTGTGGGATTGTGGGCTATATGCTTTGGGGATGTGAGATAGGGATGAGGGTTATATGCTGTGGGGGATGTAGGCTATATGCTGTGGGATTGTGGGCTATATGCTGTGGGGATGTGGGTTATATGCTGTGGGGATGTGGGTTATATGCTGTGGGGATGTGGGATATATGCTGTGTGATGTGGGATATATGCAGTGAGAAAGTGAGTTATAAGGGTTTGGGCTATATGTTATGGTGATGTGAGTTATGGGATAAGATGTTGGGTATCTGCTGTGGGAACGTGTGCTGTATGTTGTGGGTTGAGGGGTGTTTAGATAATATGGGATATGCGGTAGAGGTGTGTGTAATTTACAGTGGAATTTGCGGTAGGGGATGTGTGGGTAATGGGTATATTATGTTAGTGCTGTGCGGGTAATTGGTATATTATGTTAGGGGTGTGCGGGTAATTGGTATATTATGTTAGGGGTGTGCAGGTAATTGGTATATTATGTTAGGGGTGTGCGGGTAATTGGTATATTATGTTAGGGGTGTGAGGGTAATTGGTATATTATGTTAGGGGTGTGCGGGTAATTGGTATATTATGTTAGGGGTGTGCGGGTAATTGGTATATTATGTTAGGGGTGTGCGGGTAATTTACTGTTGGATAAGCGGTAGAAGTATGTCGTCACGTCTCATAAGGATATAAGGTGTGTGGAATAATAACTTTCATAAATGACCTATAGTTTCTGGGGACTAGCATTCGGATAGTTAGGGAATGTGTGTGTAATTAGCTTTGAGATCTAATGTAGGTTGTTTCATATAGCAGTGGGATATCCATTAGAGATCTGTGGATATTTCGCTGTAACAGACAAAGAATGTGGGTAATTAACTGTGAACTACTGTAATGATAGTAACATTTTCAGTACGACGTACTAAAATATGTTCAATTTACAAATCGGTTGTTGCAAATGTACTGACGGAATAAGAACACCAAAATAGCTGAAAAATTCTTATAGCGTCCGCCTACACTACTTTCTCTGCTAGTTCAAGCCGACCAGCATCAGAGATGGGGGTTTGTTTAATATTCAGGAAAATATTTGATTTGTTTGACATCTTGGCCGTTTTACTTTCCATATAGTGCTGGTATTGGACTGGTGTCAGATAACTAGCGCAGGAATCTACATAACACTAACCATAGAGTACTTGCGACATATTCTTATCAGTCCATAGAGTACTTGCGACATATTCTCATCTGTTATAATACATGCAGCTTTACATTCTCATCTGTCATAATGCACGTCGCTTTATATTCTCATTGGTCATTATACATGATGTTACATATTATAATGTCATTTACGTAAATTTGTGTACTCTGTTTACGATTTAAAAAAAAAACATTCTCTCTAATCACAAACTCCATAAACAGCCTTCTTCTGTGCTTCTAACATAGGCACCAGATTCTATACTCACATTAGCCATGTTAATAACTCTCCACCCTCACATAAATAATATGGATAGATAGATCTACTTTGATATGGTATTATGTTTCTGTACTACGGCTACCAATTACACATTTTGTATGGAATGTATATTTATGTTTCCACATTGCACTCTGTAATGTAGTTATGGTTCTACATTTATGTCTGTTGTGTACATATAGTTCTACATTTCGGTCTGTTAGGTACATATGGCTATTCATTTCTATCTGTAATATACATATAGTTCTAAATTTATGTCTGTAATGTACATATAGTTCTACACTGCTGTATGTACTGTACATATGGTTCTACACTTCTGTATGTACTGTACATATAGTTCTACACTTCTGTATGTACTATACATATAGTTCTACACTTCTATATTTACTGTACATATAGTTCTACACTTCTGTATGTACTATACATATAGTTCTACACTTCTGTATGTACTGTACATATAGTTCTACACTGCTATATGTACTATACATATAGTTCTACACTTCTGTATGTACTGTACATATGGTTCTACTGTATGTACTGTACATATAGTTCTCTACTTACATACACTTCTGTATGTACTGTACATATAGTTCTACACTTCTGTATGTACTGTACATATGGTTCTACTGTATGTACTGTACATATAGTTCTACACTGTTGTTATGTACTGTACATATAGTTCTACACTTTTGTATGTACTGTACATATGGTTCTACTGTATGTACTGTACATATAGTTCTATACTTCTGTATGTACTGTACATATAGTTCTCTACTTACATCTGACATACACAGACTCGCTGTATTCTCAGATGCCATTTACAAATTCCCTACAGACCCCAGTCTGGCCACACGCCAGAGACCAATCTGTCTAGTAGAAAACGTTTGAACTAATCTTTGTAACAAGGAGGAACACAGATGGTCAACATTAAGTCGACTAGATGGTCAATGTAGAATGGACCTGATGGTCAACATTAAGTCGGTAGATGGTCAACATTAAGTAGTTAGATGGTCAACATTAAGTCGACTAGATGGTCAATGTAGAATGGACCTGATGGTCAACATTAAGTAGTTAGATGGTCAACATTAAGTAGTTAGATGGTCAACATTAAGTCGACTAGATGGTCAATGTAGAATGGACCTGATGGTCAACATAAGGCGGTGGTAAACATTAGAGGAAACAAGATGTTCAATTTTAAGGGTACCTGTTGGTCAACATTAAGGGGATCAGAATATCAGCCTTTAGTGGACTAGATGGTCAATGTAGAATCGTTTAGATAGTCAACATCAGATCGAACAGATGGTCAACATTAAGTGTTTTAGATGTTCTAGACGACTAGATGGTCAATGTAGAATGGTACAGACCGTCAACATGAAGTGGACTAGATGGTCAATGAAGAGCGGTCCAGAAGGTCCACATTAAGTAGACTAGGTGGTCAATTTTAAAGAGACAAAGATGTTCAATGTTAATGTTACCCGTTGATCAACATCAAGGTGACCAGAATATCAGCATTAAGTGGTCTAGATGGTCAACTTTAAGAGACCAGATGGTCCACATTAGGTGGAATAGATGGTCAGTATAAAAGGGACCAGATGGTCAATATTAAGACAAGATGGACACTGTAGAATGGTCGAGATGGTCAACATTAGATCGACCAGACGGTCAACATTAGATCGACCAGATGGTCAACATTAGATCGACCAGATGGTCAACATAAGTTCGACCAGATGGTCAACATTAGATCGACCAGACGGTCAACATTAGATCGACCAGATAGTCAACATTAGATCGACCAGATGGTCAACATTAGATCGACCAGATGGTCAACATTAGATCGACCAGATGGTCAACATTAGATCGACCAGACGGTCAACATTAGATCGACCAGATGGTCAACATTAGATCGATCAGATGGTCAACATTAGATCGACCAGATGGTCAACATTAGATCGACCAGATGGTCAACATTAGATTGACCAGATGGTCAACATTAAGTGGGCTAGATGGTCAACATTAGATCGACCAGATGGTCAACATTAGATCGACCAGATGGTCAACATTAGATCGACCAGATGTTCAACATTAAGTGGGCTAGATGGTTAATGTAGATTCGACCAAACTGTCAACAATGAAGTGTACTCACCAGAACGAGGTTCCAGTAAGGCACGATCTCAGCCAGTGTCTTCGTCACTTCCGTGCAGGCACTGCCCATCACCATAACGAGGCTGCTTTCGTTTGACTTCCGGTACACGAAGTCGAAAAATGCATCGGTACCAAAGCCAGGATCACACTGAAAACATAGTCAAAGTATGTGAATATGCAACTGTTAGAACACCATAATTAATATGTTGATACGCTACACATACTGACATAAAAGACATATGTAATAATGTGTTTATAACAGAACGGGAAATAATTGCTTTATAAAGCTCTTGATTACTAGCATTTGATAAGCACTAGTTGAGTAACTTTTTATGGCTTTTTGAGAAATAGGAAAGAGAGGTTACCAAAAATCACTCAAAATTTGAGTGAATAAGAGTTTATACCTATGTATGAAATTTCGTCGATCTACCTGAAACGGTTCTCATGTTATCGGTATGTTAGAAATCAGAAATACAGTTAACCACACTATCCTTTCAATGAAGAATTCGCAAGGGTATTTTACTTTTACTTCCCGCTACTGCTTACGATAATGAATCTACTTGACTTAGTTACCTCTCCTTTTTACATTATAAACAAACAAGGGAAGCTACCTATTACAATGTTTTAAGAAGTACAGAAAAAGTATTTAAATAAGTATTTAAATAATTTAATGTTTTATAAATTAAACTTAATTGTTGTTATTTGTTACGCGTTTAACTATAAATATAGCGTACCTTTTTTTAGCAGTTTCTCCACATCTTATATTTTAAAATGTTTCATATTAGATTTTAATTCAAAGTGTACCATGTTTAACTGCATTAAATACTTTATTTGAGGTCTAGAAAAATACAGCTTAATCATAATGAAACGTTGAATGAGTCAAAAGTTCCATTCGTTTTTTTATCATCAGAGTCCTAAATAATTTAGTATTGCTAAACATACACATACATAAACTGGGTTTTTTTTTTCCGGTGGGGGTTGGGGGTACTTGAAATTTTCAAGGGGGGGGGGGGCGGACACTGTTAAAAGTTTATATTTACTATAAAAACAATTCGATCGAGGGGGGGGGGAGGTAGACTCTGCCCCCCCCCCCCCCCCCCCGGTGAGATGCCTGGAAGAAACACTGGTACCAACAACATAAAAAACGTCCGACAGCCACTATATTAGGTGGAACATGTCAGACTAAGATACCGTCTGTGTAGAGAGAGAGATATCCTTTAAAAGGTTGAGTCTAACTGTAGAAAGTTAACAAATAGATCTCCCTACTTTAAAAGGTTGAGTCTAACTGGGGAAAGTTAACAAATTGATCTCCCTACTTTAAAAGGTTGAGTCTAACTGGGGAAAGTTAACAAGTAGATCTCCCTACTTTAAAAGGTTGAGTCTAACTGGGGAAAGTTAACAAATAGATCTCCCTACTTTAATAGGTTGAGTCTAACTGGGGAAAGTTAACAAGTAGATCTCCCTATTTTAAAAAGATTTTTTAAAAAAGAACTCCAAACTAATGAACGATCGTTTACTTTAAGTTGCCGGAATATTACTGCTTTATATAGCACTAGATTAATAGCACTATATAAGCACAAAACGTTTTTTGAGACATCAGAAAGGACATAAAGTACTACTTCCGGACACCGAAAATCACTCAAAATTTGACAGAAAGGGTTTATAACTATGTATGAAATTTTGTCCACCTATCTAAACCGATTGTCATGTTATTGGTATTTAAGAAACCAGAAATAGAGTAAAGTACCACTTCCGGATATTGGAGGTCGCTCAAAATTGAAAAATCTTCTCTATGAAATTTCGTTTACCTAAATGAGACTGCATTCAAATTATTGTTATCCTTCGAAATAGAGTAAGTACCACATCCGGTAACCGGAATTCGTTATAAAGTTGATACAGAAATACGAATTTGAAATAATACTTATATTATGAAATTTCTTCAACATAACTAAAACTGTACTCTAGTTTTCGTTTTCACAGACAGACTTGACACACAGACACACAAACACACAAATACACAGACAAACAGGCACATAGACACACAGAAAGAAAAACAAACACACATACACACAAACACACATACACACAAACACACAAACACACAGACAGACAGGCACATTGACACAGATAAAAATTACAAACGCTTTTCCTGTCTTTCGCCTGTTTTCGGCCAACGACCGCTCGTCCATCTATTCATCAGCCGGACATATCACGTGACGTCATTGTCTGACGCCATACCGAGACATCACCTGTTCATCAGTCGGACATCTTGCATGACGTAAGACGAGCGGCGATAGCTTTATCGTCACGTGATCCCCTGTGACATCGTGTCTGACACACGGCCGAGTGTTAATATCTACGTGATAAATCTGTTGCGTCGGGCTTGAGTTTATTCGATGTGATTTCACGTCATGCATCCATGTCAAGTATCCATATCCATTATCCTTATCAAGTTTCCATCAAGTTTCCATATACATACAAATGTAAATATCAACCGTGCATATTAGTTATCAATTTCGTTATCCAACTTTCATATTGAATATATATATATATATATATATATATATATATATATATATATATATATATATATATTGTTCATATCAAGTATGCAAATCAAGTATAAAGTATACATATAAAGTTGGCATATCAAGTATGCATATCAGGTATACTTGTCAAGCATGCATGATGTCAAGCAACATAATCAAAATCCAACGATCATCTTAACAAAACGTATTAAGGCTAAATATACATTCAGTGCCAACCAACTTTCTGACTTTATGTGATAGTGTAACTATAAAGGGTGGGGATAGTTCTTTTGGTTATTTTATATGTTTTGTTGGACTGGTTTTTAAAAACAGCAAATTAAAATTTCTGTAAGGTAGGATTTCCTTGAGATGGTGTATGCATTTAATGAGAAGGTGTCTGACTATGATGCAATGGTGTCTGAGTTTAATGAGATGGTGTATGAGATTAATAACATGGTGTGTGAGTTTCATGAGATGGTGCATGGGTTTCATGAGATGGTGTATGATTAATGAGAAGGTGTCTGACTATGATGCGATGGTGATTGGTATACTGAGAAGCTGGAATGTTGGATGACACGTTCAAATTTACGAGATATTGGTTTTATAAGCTTTGAGTGTGGGTGTGCGGTTTGATATATAATCAAATCATACCATAATAATGCCTATGTACTGAAAAACGGATTGTCCAGAAACATGGCTTGCGCGTCAGGAAGTATTTTAGATAGGGCATATATAAATAAATTTAAAAAAAAAAAAAAAAAAAAAAAAAAAAAAAATATATATATATATATATATATATATATATATATATATATACATATACATATATATATATATATATATATATATATATATATATATATATATATATATATATATATATATATATATATATATATATATATATATATATATATATATATATATATATATATATATATATATATATATATACATATACATATACATATATATATACATATATGTATATATATATATATATATATATATATATATATATATATATACATATATATATACATATATGTATATATATATATATATATATATATATATATATATATATATATATATATATACATATATATACATATATATACATATATATATATATATATATATATATATATATATATATATATATATATATATATATATATATATATATATATATATATATATATATATATATATATATGTATATATATATATACTAGCCGTCCCGGCCAGGCCCTGCTCTGGCTTCTGTGAAAAACCTTTCTGTTAAAGACCGTTACCTGTGTGTTTAGTAATCATCATAAACCCGGCATTGCCCACCCAAACCACAACCAACCAAAACCAAAACAACAAAACGCAAACATAACGCTAACACAATTACAAATACAAACGAAAACAAAAACTTAACAACAAACACAACCACACCCACAAACACCAATACAAACACAAAGAAAAAACAAACAAAAAAGCAAACGAAAACAAAAACCTAACAACAAACCCAACCACAAACACCAATACCAACAAAAAAAAAATCAACGAAAAAAGCAAACGAAAACAAACCAAATCCAAACGCAAAACCAACCAAAAACACAAATACAAACCCAAACAAAAAAAACACAAACAAAAACGAAAAAAGAAAGAACAAAAACGAACCAAATTAAAACGCAACCACTAACGCAAACCCACCTAAACACAAAGAAAACACTAACGCGAACATAAACGCCCGGGGCGGAATCACCTGTTTTAGCTTAATGAACGACTATAGTACCCCAACTTATTCACAGTCTTTTGCACTCACTTAAACGAACGCGCCTGTTTCAATTTAATAAACAATTTTAATACTCCAAGCTTATCCGTAAAATACCTACAACATTTGCACTTGATCAATCCCCGCTAATTATGTAATTATTTTTTTTCCCAACACCAAAACAAAGTAATTAAAAAGTAAATTATTTTCACGGAATGCAATGGTTTTATAAAGGGAAGTAATTGTGTTTTTCCTAATTTATCAAAGGGAAGTAAGTGCTATAGGACTAAATAAAGACATAATTAGAATTTTTGTAAAAGATGATATTTTTTTTAAAACTTGTGTTTAATGAACATGCCGACAATTATTACTATAATTTGAAAAATGAAAATTATTTCCCAACACTTTCAATAGTAAATTTTTAGCTCATAAATTTAGACAAATGCGCACGATAATTTTTCTAACACTTAAAATCGTACAATTCCAACGACATACAAATGCATTACATACAGAACTGAGCTTTGTATATTAGATATATATATATATACATATATATATATATATATATATATATATATATATATATATATATATATATATATATATATATATATATATATATATATGTATGACCTAATTCAGGCACCTGATGCCTGTTTAGTCTCTTCCGGTCATGATCCGGCTAATTAATTTCATCCATCCGTCACATCTTTTCTTACCGGCACAGCCACCGACCAACTGATCAGTGTGACCGTGTTCTCTGTTTGTCCACACAAGCCCACGAGCCCGTCTCTGGCCACGTTCAAACAACCACCCCCCCCCACCCCCACTATAGATGGGTGAGTCATATTGACA